GCCTTGCTTTGAATTTGGTTTTATATTTGAGCTAGAATCTTCATGTATAGGGACAGGTAAACTAAATGTTTCATGTGTGGTTTTTCCATTAGGTAATAATGTAGCTGCAATTCCTGTATAAGCCATTGTACATACGTTTTTATTGGTACTGCGAAGTAAATAACATAAAGTTGTATAAATATATGTTTTTCCAGATCCTCCTGGTCCATCTATATATATACAATTAGGTTTATTATTATTTTTATTTTCTACAATATCTATGATGAAATCGACAATTTCTTTTTGTTTTTCATTTAATTTGTCATATTGTTCTTTACCTTTCTCATATGCTGTTTCTACTGGTAGTTGATTATCTATTTCTTCTATTTCTGTAATTGGTGGCATGTTTGGAAGATTTGATAGATTAAAATTTTCTTTATCGAGATGAGAAATAATTGAATTATAGGCTTTTTGTATTCCAATTACTTTTCCGAAATTATGTATATAATCTTCAGACATGGGTTCTTTAAATTGTTCCCAAAGTTCTTCTGGATGAAGTGGATTACAATGCATTATTATACGTACATATAAATCGCGTAATTGTCGAGGCATCATCCATATTTCCGCTTCATGTAAAACTCGTTTCCATTCACCATCGTCTTCAATAAGACCTAAAGCTAAACATGCATCTGTGAAAGTATTGTATACATTACCATTAACAGTTGTTAAATCGTCATAACTAATTGCTCCTTTTACTGTGGTTAAAAGTAATCAAAGATGGAATAATTCAATTTTAGTTGGGCTAACTGAGTACATTCTACCAATAACAGTGAATTTTTTTTGACGTCTTTCTCATTTTTTGATATTGGTATTTCCTTGTTTCTTAAAAACATAGTAACTCGGAATTTGTACATATAAATATTGTTTAGCTTGTGGATCACGTGCATTTAGTGCAAAATAATCTATGAGCATTGAATCTTCTTGTAAAGCATCCATAACTTGCTGTTGAGTTGGATTAGCAATAATTGTAAGAGTATGTTGATTAGGTAAATGTACCGGTAATCGTGTAATAGCATGACTTTTATTTTGTAGTGGTTTTGATAGTATCCTTCAAATTGCCTCAACTGGACCAACATAGCGACTGTCGATATGGTCAGTTATTTCATCATGATTTATTACATTTGAATTATTGTTATTTGTTTGAGATGCATTTAAATTTGATGTAGTACCAGTAACAGTAATTACCGCTCGATCATGACCTTTATATACATATTTATATAGATATTTAACAGATTTTATGCTGGAAACAGCTTCAACATTAATATGAGCGTTAAACATTTTCAATAGAACATTATTATATGGAACAACATGTTGATTAGTGAAAATATCTCTATTACGTCGTGTGAATGTTATAGCAGAATTTCTACGATGATATTGAGGATAACCGTCTGCATCCATAGTTGTTTCGTTGCAAAAATCTTTCGGATAGTGTTTTGAACATTTGTTGTTTACTAAACACCAAGCCCCACATGGACCATGAAGCATATTTTTAGTAACAATCTCATATAATGTGGGATCTACGGTTTGAATCGGAAGTTCAGCACAGATATATCGATCAACTATGTTGGGAGTAGTTATTTTGTAATTATGGAGTAATGTAAGTAACATGTGAATATGGGGTAATCCACGTTTCTGAAATTCAACGACATATATATATGCTGAAACTTCTCCAAAGAGTTTTTTATTGAGTATATAATCAATTAGTTTATCTTTTTTTATATTAAATACTCGTGCAACAATATCAGGGCTGTCTGATGGCGTTCGATTGGGTAAGAGGTTCTCTTTAATTTCATACCAATTGGGATTGCATGTCATTGTAATGAAAAGATCTGGTTTTCCATATTTTCGAACTATTGCCATAGCGTCCTGATAATTTCGTAACATATTTCGAGGTGAACCAATAAATGATGATGGAAGTATAAATACTTTTCCAATATTACTACCATCATTATTTGCTTGATGATGTAGATAATCTAATAAACCTTCATAAGTTTCAGAACGAATTTGTTTCTGATTGCATCTAAAAAAGTTTATTCTATCTTTTTCTACTTTAACATAAGCGTCAACTATCCACTGTTGAAATAATCGACGACCCATTAAAAAAATATTAAATCCATCTCTAATAGCTATTTGATATTTATAATAATCATTTCGAGTTACTTTCCCATTTGCTTGATGATAAGGGATATCTTTATACCAACCTTGAGTACCAAATGGATAAAATAATGGATAAACCCATGGTTCTACATTAGGGTCCATAGTATTTATATGCTTTAATGTTTTAGTTGATTTATTTATAATAGAAACATAGGATTCTGGTATGTCTCCATTAGCATTCGTTGAAAAGATAGCAGCTACTTCATTTTTTCTTTAAAAATTATAACGTCTTCGATCTACACCGGGTTTCAATGTAAATGATAAATGTAATTCAGGTTCGATATTGTTGTTTTTTCTTTTCTCATTTTCAATTACTTCTTTCATCATTAGATAAGATTTAGCAAATGCATTATATTGTCTCATCAAAGAATCTAATAGTTCAAAAATTTCAATATCACATTGTACGTTATTTTGTAATCGAAATTGAACTGCTTGCTGTTCATCATAAATAAACAGTTGACCAAATGCAGGAGTTGTACTTGAATCTGGATATAATGCTGTGTTAATTTGATAGTAAACTTGTCCTTGTATTTTAAAACAATACGAACCACTACGTTGATTATTAAAATTGATTAGATTAGCATTAAATGAGGCAAAGAAGTAAGAATTATTGAACTGACGAATACATTGAAAAAAATTAGTTGATTTTGGATGATTACCTTCAAACAATGATTGTAGTAATGTTGGGGTGGTTGGTAAAGGTTCAAGTTTTACTTTACCTTGATGACAACAGTCATTAAAAGAATTCTTTTTATTGGTAACTCTTTCATCAGGAAAATGTTTTGCATTACAATGAATACAAATGATATCCATCTTTCCGATGTAATTTTCTTCAATATTACGTATAATAGTATAGAAATAGGATGAATCGTATACATTTGACAAACTGTTATTATTGGCTGCAGTAGAAACAGATTGAGTTGTTATTATGTTATTATCATTGGTATTGTTGTTAATCACTTGATTAGTTTCATTTGTCAAATTTACTAATGGTAGAGCATCATGAGAATATAATGTATGATTATTTTGTACAAAATCATTACTATTATTTTCATTATCATTATTATCATCATCATTACTAATGTTATTATTACTATTATTACAATTATTATTGATATTACTATGATTGTTAGGTGTTGAAGTAGTCTTAAGAGTTAAATCTATAAGTGGTTCAGTATTATTCCAAGATACATTATAAGAATGATCCAGTAATACATGATTAACAGTTTCTGGCAAAGATGCATTGTACGAATGATCAAGAGATAAAGAATGAGAATAAAAATTGTGTGAAGATGATGTATCAAAGACAGTTTGTTGAAGCATACGCTTTTGATGATATTTTTTCCTTCGTTTTTCGCATTGAAGTCGTTTATGTTCCACTTCTTCTTCAACTATAATCTAATGGATAAAAATTTATTATGTAAAGAAAAAGTTTGGTTTATTTCAATATTTCTATAGAAAAGAATAGATGGAATTGTGCAAGAGTCTTTAAAGATACAATATTTGGATTTTTATAAAGAATTCAATTAATCGGAAATAATAAAAATTGTGAGTGTTTATTCAGTCCTGCTCCATCAATTTGTACAATTTTGCGATTATTTAAAAGTTTTATATGATTTTTATTATGTTTTTATCTTAATTTTGATATAAATTTTCAAAATACACCGATAAGTCTGCAGATATTTCTTAAATTTCCAAAAAATGCATATATTTTCTATATTTCTAAGTTCTTTAAATTTCTTAATAATAAAGTTCTATTTTAGTTTTATTTCCAAGATTTCGAGTATATTTTTAAATTTTTGTTGATGTGTCTGGAACCCTGTAAAAAAAGATCCATTCTTTTCATAGCCATCCATATTTAAGTGAATATAATTAAATACTTGAAACAAATTTTAAAATAAAATTAAGCCATAATTTAAAAATACGTGATGATATCGTAATAATAATTTGTTAAAAAATCTGTAAGATATTATTGATAAATAATGTAAACAGATTAAGAAATTTTCAATCAATGGTATTTCAATTATTTTAAGATCAAATAAAATTTAGTGATTAATATTTTATTATCTTATGAAATTAAAAAATAAAAAATTGTATCAAGTATTGCTTTATTTGAAAATTCGTAAAAAAAATATTTACCAAAAAAATAAATTGCAAATGCCTATGGTCCTTGTCTTCGGTGTAATTGATGATGTTTTGATTTATGTTTCAATATTTTTTAATTGAATTACGTCTGTGAAGAAATTTTTAGATAAGTACAATTAAAATATTTGATAAAGTTTACTTGAATCGAATGACATTCTATCTAACCTTTTATTATGCATAATTTTTGAGTTAATGTATGGTATGTATTAATTTTAATTACACAATGAATATGACAGATGGTATTTAAAAATTATTAATAACCATACAAACGAATTAATAAAATCTCAATTGATAATTTTTGAGAAACCCTAGATTAAATGAATTAATTTATTGTATATGCTATTGAAAAAAAGGATCAAGAATTTCCATCTGAAATATAAATGGAAAAATACTTACACATGAAATAAACGGTGATTATCGATTTAACTTGAATTGAAGCTGATTTAATGATGAAATCTATAAGAGAATTATTGATTAAACATTAATCATACATTAGAAAAAGTTTATGAAGATTTAATGATACAATCATATTAAATGGCATTCAATCTAACCTCATAATATAAATTTTTAATTTTCACCTGTACTGTGCATTAGTATTCACCAATCTGTTGGGTGATTCTAAAATTTATGATGTGTACAATAAAATCAGGAAACTCTTATTGTTAATGATATTAGTAATATTTATTGCTGTTTTTGAAAAAGTAATTATTCACATGTATGTCACTGGACGGAGCAAAGATACTTTTTTTTGCAGAAATAACATTTGCTGTTATGATGCCAACTATATTATCGACATATGATTTTTGGTATGTTGTCATTTTATGTAAAGAACTCTGCTTTATTGTCAATTTTTTTTCTAATATAAAAAATTATATTTAATTTAAATTATTTTATAAAATTGCATTTTTCTTGAGAAATATCTATTTTATAACATGCAATGATTTGAATGAAACACATAAAAATTCGTTTTATAAAGTAAGTAAATATACATTAGTAATTGACATTATTCTCATTAAGTATCATCATTGAGTATTTTAAGCTGACTTATTATTTATTATCTTGTTATTATTTATGTATAGTCTTTTTGAAGTCACATTGGGTGAATCGGACCTAATATAATTCTTGATTTGTCAGTAATTTTTAACTCTATTGGTGCTAATCCGTTAGCTGGATTTACATAAACTTGATTGATCAATGACGCATATGCATGAGTAATATTAATCACCTGCAATTTATAAATGATCGAATTATAAATAAACTATTAAATATTGAATATATTGTAAATATGTATTTATACTGACAGTATTCATGGTGATTTCAGAATGCCATATTAATGCGTGATCATCCCAAAACAAAACTCGAACGCGACGATTAGAACCATTATTCATGATAATTCGATAAAGCTTTTTATTATTTGGTCCAATATTTACGATGCTTTCAATGTTGTCAACGTAACCAACCAAATCACTGTTGATGGTCCACATATAAAAAAAAAAAACAAATATTCATGTGTTTTATTTACATTGATAAAATTATATTTTTGTCTGAAAATTTTATAGAATTGTTACATGTTTGTTTTGTTAAAGATTCAAAAGCAATGAATCAATAAAATTTTAAGACAAAAATGTCCATTATTTTAAAGATAATAACATTTAAAAATATTAACATTGTTAGAATATAAAATATTAACTCACGTGAAAAAATTATGAGCAAAATACGTATCTATTTCTTGATTTGAAGTAAAATTCATTTTGATAGGAATAACCAAACAAAAAAAATCAAACCACGTGATACGTCCACACTCAATGAAATCTCGTGCAAAGATGAAAGATTCAACAGGTCTGGCATGTTAATAGACACAATAATTACAATTTGATGTTACCGACCGGAGATATCGAATTTTTTTTTAATGTACTTTGCTTTATTCTTAGTTTATTGTCAAGCATAAAATTTAATTTAATCTTTATGTATTACACACGTAGAATTTTTATTAAGAAAAATATGTTTTACAATGAATATTTATATCATAAATATTTGCATTTAGTTTAAATATTATTACATTTTTATAATCATTTATATTTTAATTACTTGTTAATTATTATTATAAGTATTCTAGTCTTATTATTTGTTACATATCACTTCTTCTTATTTTTTAGTAATCTAGTAATTAGTTAGTTTAGAATACTGCAAGAATACTGTCATTCTTACTTATAATAATATATAACCGCAATCTTTTCTTTAAAAAAAAAATAGTTTTTTAAATTGTTTTCTGTTTATTTGCGTCATCAAGAACAGCTAATGGTGAACGGTATGATCTTTTAGGAGTCCTGAAACCACGAATCTTGTTTTCATCTACAGGATCTTTGTGTATCAGGGTAATATCATTTGAGTCGTTGACCTGGATAAACATATTTCCATCTAAAACAGATTTAAATATAAAATTTATTCTATTTGTAAATTTACAAATAAAATTTTATAAATAATAAAAAAAAGAATCAATTAATCTTACTTTTATCTTCTTTTTTTGATCCGAGAATCTTGACAGTGCTTCCAACTTCAATATTTTCATCTTGATCGAATACCGCAATTTTGACAACAATTTTTGTTGTTCCATCAGCAATTGCACCGCAACCATATGATGATCCACCAGCAGTAATATTTTCAAATACTACTTTTACATAGGCTGTAATATCTGTAAAAATTTTTTTGTTGATAACAAAGTACTGTATGACAGATATTGAAAAGAAAAATAATTATAAAACAAATTAACTTACAAAATGCATTTTCAGTTGTATTCTGAAAATCTTGAATTGAAATCTCTTTAATTACCACCGGTGTAGCTGCATTGGCTGAATAAGTTGGACCCAACTTGACTTTCGTGCATTTAACAATAGTTAATTCCATTGGTGCCAAGCCGTCGGATAGGTCTACATACGTTTGATTCACTAATGTGGGACGTCCTCGATTAATATCAATAATCTGAAATTGATTCAAAGTTCTATGTAATTACGAATAGATTTAAATAAATGAAGAAAAAAACATACATATATAAAATAAAAAAATACACTTACAACGTTGCTGGTGATTTGAGAATGCCATTCTAATGCGAAATCCTTCCAGAACAAAACTCGAACGCGACGGTTTGAACCATTGTTAACAATTATTTTGTAGAGTTTTTTTTCCATCTTCCCCACAGGTTTGATGCTGATGATATCATCAACATAGCCGACTAAACGCCTGTAACAACGAAAAAAAAACAAAAGATTGAAGCGTTTCATTTATCTTGATAAAGTAACATTGTTTTCTTCGAATTTTGTAGTTTCGTTACGAAACAAAATTCAATGAAAAGAATGAAACCTTATCAAGATGAAGAAACAATAGAAAAAGAAAGAATTCTAAGAAAAAAAACTCAACATGAAGTGAAAAAAAGAGATTAAAATTAAAACAAATATATATTGACACATTTATTAAAAAAATCAAAATATTTGACTTACACAGTGTTGTCGACCACACAACATGCATCTATTTCTTCGTCAGAAGTGAAGTTCATGCTCATCTTGATCACAATAATAACCTAACAAACTGTATAATATTGGTCTGTACACTACACCACGTAACACGTCTGCACTCGTGAAGTCCCAAACGCAGAAGAAAGATTTAACCGGCAGGAACAATATGGTCGAATCAATGAAGGAGAAAGACTCCCCACTCTCTCATGTAAAATTACACTATACTGTTCTACGATACAGTCAGTGAAATTATCTAGTATACTCTTACGTTGATTACTATAGTTTTTATATAGTTCTTACTACCTACTACTACAATATTGTAATACACGCTATTGGTCTACTACAAACCAATCAGATCATCGGAAAACATGACCAATATGGCATCTTCCATCTAACTCATCAACTTTAAGATATAGGATGGATAGGATCGCTGTTGTTGGCAGAATTGCCGGACAAATTTTCGCCCATGATCATGGCGATCGAACATTCTGGGTTGGCCATATCTGCTGACGTCATAAAAACCAAATTGTTCGACATGAGCGATAATGTTGGCAGCAGTGAGTCCGAAAGCGCATTTTTAGCATCTAAAGGTTGGCAGCGCCGTAAAGAAAATAAAGTTGTCAAAACTGTTGAAACGTTAAACCGACCTGTCAAAGTGATAATATGCTATGAATGTAAACAAACCGGTCACTATAAAAACCAATGTCCGCAAACAAAGGAAAAACAAGTAAATGCGTTCAGTGCAGTACTTCTTAATGGCAGTTTTGATAAGCATGAATGGTACATTGACTCTGGTGCCAGTAGTCACATGATCAGCCAAGACAACATAAAAAATGCGTCATGTAACCTCACTACAAAGAAGATTATAGTTGCAAGCAGAACAACTATGCCTGTATTGTGCTCTGGAGATACACAAATTACGACTGTTGTGAACAACAAGGAATTTGATATTGTTGTCAAAGATGTGTTCTGTATTCCCACACTCACCACCAACTTATTGTCTGTCAGTCAGCTGATAAAGCATGGTAACAAAGTCAGTTTTCATCAGGAATGTTGTTACATCAGAAATCGGCAGAATGAACTGATTGGCATAGCAGAGTTAGTAAATGGGGTCTACAAGTTGAACACCAGGTCAGCATGTTTGTTCGCGGCTTCAGCAACAACGACCTCAAATATAATTTGGTACAGAAGACTTGGACATATAAATAGCAAAGACATGAATGACATGAGAGAGGGTGCTGTTGATGGCCCAGAATTTGACAAGAAAGCTGAGATCAGCAAGTTCAATTGCACAGTGTGCTGTGAAGCCAAACAAACCAGATTGCCATTTCCACATAATATAAATTGTTTTGAAGATTTCAAGATTATGGTTGAAAAACAGATGAATTGCAGTATAAAAGTTCTAAGGACAGACAATGGCACAGAATTTTAATCAAATGAAATGGAAACTATTTAAAACAACATGGCATAATACATCACTACCACATCAGCGCACCAACCTACATACCCCAGAAAAAATGGGATGTGTGAAAGATTTAACCGCACTCTTGTGGAGAGAGCCAGATGCTTACTTTATAATGCAAAGTTTGAGAAGAAGTTTTGGGTAGAAGCAGTTCACACAACTGTGTACTTAAAAAATAGAACAGTTGCTTCTGGGTTGAACCAAAAAACTCCCTATGAACTTTGGACTGGCTGCAAGCCAAATGTCAGTCATCTAAGGTTGTTTGGAAGCACAGTTATGGCTCACATCCCTAAACAAAAAAGGCTGAAATGGGATATAAAGGCAGAAAAGCATTACTTAGTTGGGTATGCTGATAATATAAAGGGGTGCAGGCTGTACAGTCCCAGTACCAATGAAGTGATAACATGCAGGGATGTCACTGTCATGGAGCAGGATAATTCAGAAATAGTGCAAGCAACAATAAATGAAAACAATGTGTCCTCATCTGACAGTCTTGGTCAGAATAGAGATTCTGATGGCTCGGACTCTGAAGTGTCAACTGGTACAGTGAAAAGTAACAATAATGACAGTACTTACATAGGAGAATCAAACTCACACAGTAGTTCAGATGAATTTTTTGACAGTATACCAGCAAAGGACTTGAAAGATCTAATTGAGTGTGAAAAACCAGATAAAGCTGTTAGAGAAAGGAAAAAACCTGACCGATATGGTTATAGTAATATGTGTGTTGAAACAGACTTAAATTTATGTGCAGACCAGCTGATAACAGATGAAGCGGCTGTAAATCGACCAGAATCAGAGAAATGGTGTAAAGCTATGCAGGAGGAACTAAAATCATTCGAAGAAAATGAAGCTTGGGATGTGGTGAACAGGCCAGAGCAAGCTACAGTGGTTAAGTGTAAGTGGGTGTTTAAGAAAAAAGTGGACTGTGATAATAATGTGAGATATCGTGCTCGTCTAGTCGCCAAAGGATTCTCCCAAAAGGCAGGAATAGACTATACAGAAAGCTCCTCCCCAGTTGTCCGTCATTCAACATTAAGATTGTTGTTTGAATTAAGTGTCAAATATAACTTGGATATTACTCACTTAGATGTAACCACAGCATTTTCAAATGGATATTTAAATAAAAATGTGTATATGAGCTCACCTCAGAACTTTGAATGTAGTAATAAAGAAAACAAAGTGTTAAAGTTGAAACGTGCTATCTACGGGCTAAAACAGTCTGCTAGGGCATGGTATAAACGCGTAGAAGATTGTCTACATGATTTAGGTTATAAAAAATCAAAATATGAACCCTGTTTATTCATGAAACTTAATAATAATGCTAGAATATGTGTGGCTTTGTTTGTAGATGATTTTTTTTTCTGACAGTCAAAAGGAAACTGAATTCCTTAAAAATCATTTGAAAAGTAAATTTAAGTTGAAAGACTTGGGAAAGATTAGACAATGTTTAGGTATGAGGGTTAGAAGGGAAAATAATAAAATTTTTGTAGACCAGGAACAATTTGTTGATCATTTGTTGAATAAGTTTAATATGAAAAATTGTAATCCAGTCAGTACTCCCATGGAAGTAAACTTGAAGCTTGAAAAGGGTGATAATAATTGTTCTAAACAATACCCCTACCAGCAGTTAATAGGAAGTTTGCTCCATTTGTCAATGTTAACCCGACCTGATATATTTTTTTCTGTTTGCTACCTTAGCCAGTTTAATAACAATCATAATGAAACTCATTGGAAGCATGTAAAGCGTGTTCTAAAGTATTTGCAAAAAACTAAACATTTTGGTTTGAAATATGTAAAAGATGATTTAGATCTGTTAGGTTATGCCGATGCAGATTGGGCATCAGATTGTGTTGACCGCAAATCTTATACAGGTTTCATGTTTAAAATGTCTGATAGTGTAATTTCATTTGAATGCAAAAAGCAGTCAACAATAGCTCTGTCAAGCACAGAAGCTGAGTATATGGCCATATGTGAAGCAAGTAAGGAAGCCATATACTTAAAGAACTTGTTATTTAAGTTGAAATGTAGAAATGATTTGCCTGTATTGTTATATAATGACAACCAGAGTGCACAATTTGTTAACTAAACATTCTGTATTCCATAAACGAAGCAAGCATATAGATATTAGATTTCATTTTGTCAGAACAGCAGTTGAAAATAATTGTATTAAAATAGAGTACTTAAATACTAATTCTATGCCTGCAGATATATTTACAAAAAGTTTGAGTTGTCAAAAGCATAATAATTTTGTTGAACAGTTAGGTGTAACTTCCATGTAATTTTGTTTTATTTATGTACATTTTTTGTATTTTTTCAATATCCGTGTACCAATTATTTTGATATGGGAGCGTGTTAAATTTGTATTCAAATAATATTACTTGTATACTATAGTGACACCTATTGTTTATTTAAATGCAACAACATTAGTACTGAGATGAAACGTTAAAATAGAAATGTTACTGTAAATTGAAGCGGTAAAATATATTTTCTAGTCTGTGCCGAACACTCTGTAGTGCTATTATTAAGTTATTAAACAACTGTTCGTTTGTGAGTGATTTTTCTTCTGAAAAGTACAACCTTTTATGGTGCTGTTTACATCATAATTGCCCTTCTATTTGGAAGTTTTCGTTCCTTTCTCTTATCGATTTTGAAAAATTAACTGTTGTTTCCATTTTTACTTTCACGCTATCTTAGAACATTATCATTTTTTATTAATTTTTTTGATCTGTCGATTTCCTATATAATCATGTTCCTCATAATCCATTGGTTTATTTATAACAGAGGGAGTTGAAGAGAAAATACATATAAATATATAAATAAATAAATACATCTATAAATATATAAATACAAGGATAAAAATAATTTTTTTAGTTAAGAGAAAATTGTATACGATGAATTTCAGACGTATTAATAAACTTTATAATCTTCCACTCGGTCAATTAGAAACAGTTCGTGATTGTTCAGAAAAACAGCATCAGTATGATTATGAAGAAATTTAACGATGGGAAATATAGCAGAACAGTTTTATACCATGCTTCATGTTGAGTCACAAAATAAAAAATTACCATTCGCTCAGAAATTGAAAGACGAGGAGGAATAGCAATTACTCCAACTATATCATTATCATCATCATCAGCAGCTGTACCATCTACTCCAACAGCACTAGCTATATCATCTACCTCAACAGCACCAGCTATATTATCTACCTTAAGAGTATCAGCTCTACCATCTTCCTCAAGAGCATCAGCTATACCATCAACCTGTACATCATTGCAATCTCAGAATATAAGGGGATTGATCTGGCCAGTATTTCCAAAAAACGTGTTAGTACTCATGCAATATTGAACTTTAGATATTTAAATTTAAAAAATTTTCTTAAAGATTGTGAAAAATTAATTAGTAAAAAAGTAAAATCTAATCAATTATCAAAAATTAATTCGCTTGTGAATTTCGTTTTGAATTGTACATTTGAAAATGTTAAACAAGATCCGATAGTGTATGATAAAAAGACTTTTAGTACAGGAAACAACAAAGTATTGTTATCAACAGACTTTTTCGTTATTCATGGTTTAAAAGTAGTTATACATTTATTAAACCAGATGAATTAGAAAATCCAGTCAATTTTGCATTTGGAAATACGTCGATCATCATTTTCGACGTAGATAACTATATAAAAATCTCA